ACTGTAAAAAAAGTTAATTACTTACAAGTGCCGTCCATCATTCTGTGAGTAGAACGTAACAGTATTCATAGTGAATACTACCATAACCATACATAAAGAAACAGGAACAAAAAGGTTGATTACATGACCAGCTCCATATTTTAATTCAGCTTCCTCCTCTTGCTCGTCACCTCGCTCTAAACATAGCCAATAAGACAAGGTAAAACAACTTCTAAGTTAAGAAGTTGAAGGTAGACCTTGATTAGCGGAATCCTCAACACTCGTAGACACTGCTGATCCATAAGAATTCGCCTAAAACTTATTTAGAACAATAAACACTAAGTCGTGATAATCCACTCTCCTCCGAGGGCTTTCTTTTAAAACGTCGAATGAAAAGAAATACTCCAAGCTCTAGACAATAAGATGCGATAGGGTCTTTTGCAATGCGCAAGAATCAAAAGCGATAAGGTAAGCATTAAATTAGTACCTACCGAGGTACTAGCGCTACTACCGCAGTTGAGAATCAGAAGCCTAATTTCACAATAGTGCATAAGCATTCAAATACGTCAAGATTAAAGACCAAACTAAACCTTTCGAATTTATGATATAAACTCTATGAAGTACGAAGCCAACACTACTATGCTACTGCGATGTGCATTTCAATAAGAAAGGTGGAATACGAAGTACGACTGCCTAGCCTTTAGAGCTAAAAAAATGGGAAATCATGATCTTCAGCAAAGATTCGACTAGTTAGTTCGGAAAGAAAATAGCATGTCGTTAAACTTTCTGCATGAATAGAACAATTAACATTCATAAAAGTTTGAAGAGACTACTTATCTGTAGTAGATTCTAATTTCTCAGATTAAAAAAAGGAGCGATATTCCCAGAAAAACCAACAATGTAGGCGTAACTGCATGAAGTTTTACACTGCAAGGTAAACAGCGAAAAATGATTTAGAAAATCACATAAACTAATTCAAGTTGGAAAAAATAAATATGTTTGCTTAGAAAAACTTCTATAAACATGAAATGAAATGCGCGGATTCGGAATATCAATTCAAAAAGGAAGTATTATAGACCAACTCACAGTAACAGCCGTCACCAATGGTTTTGTCTTGGGGACTGATGCCGCTGTGCTTTGAGATGCTATTTCGTCAGGGGGTGACGACATCTCAAAAAGCGACAGTCCCTAGGATTCTCACTGAAAACTTGCACTTTTGGAAAAAAGTTTTATTAAATATGAACGATTATAAAAACAAAAATTCTGGAAAGCAACGGGAGCCTAGATAAGAGTGTCGCACAACATTATGGAAAATTCTACAGTATCTACAAACAAGCAAGATTCTAGGAACATAAACAAAAAGAGGCACGAAATAACGGGCCAATATTTATGAAAACTCTTCATCAATAAAACATCAGAAATAGCGATGAGTAGCAATCAATTGTGGGGAGTTGTGGTGCCCCTCCCACCTACAGACATTACGCATGGAACGCCTAAAAACGCACTTCATTACAATTCTTTTAAAGTATGTTACTTGCAATAGCAGTATGTATCCATCTTTGAAACTTTTGTAAATTCTGGGATAATTCGGGCTTGTGAAGAAGCTTTTCAGGTTGGAAACTTTGTATATTGCATTGATTTTTTGATGTTTGGACATTTTGGGAAATAGTGAAAGAGAGGGTCACTAGTTATTGGGTCTCTTCGTTTAGGGTATCTCCATACTTCATAAGGATCGGCCGATCTGAATCGGCTGATCCTTATGAAGTATGGAGATACCCTTAGTACGAAAAGCTTGTAGAATATGCTTAAAAAGTTTAAAAGACAGTTCAAAAAAAGTTAAGACTAAAAATTTTTGAATGTCCTCGATTTGACCATATAACCTTATAGACCTATTTCAAACGTTTATTCACATAAACCTGAAAATGCGCACTCGCGCCGCATTTGATCCATGCCACTTTTTCGACAGCAGTAGTTAGCAATTTGCCAAATTTTCGTCCACTGGATCTGGTTTTTTCCGTTGTATTTCCTCTTCAATTTTTTTTTGTAAATATTTTGATTGAGACTCAGCATGATGGCAATGTTCTGGTGTAAGCGAGGCGGTCGAGTGGAGCGATTTCTTGCAGACTGTCAGTAACTCCATATGCATGCTATAGCACAACAAAATTACAATTTCATGAGCTTTCAGACTTTTCAAGGTGGAGGAAGAGAATGAGAGTATCAACTATCCACGAGCTTGATAGTGTATGAGCAGTAGGTGCTTGGAAAAGGATTTTGTAGCTACAGATAAAAATTCTTCAAGCCCATCTGATTAGGTACTGCTGGTTTCCCGATTATAACTTTAGAAGGTTTTTACTATGATCTT